CGGCCCTTCGAATGGAGAAATAACCTGGACATCACACCTGTCTGTGGAATCCTAGATTATTGCGGGAAGACTGCTCCTTTGGAGTCTTTGATGGGCCGAGCCTCCCTTGGGAAGGTGGCAGCTCAACGGTTCTGTGTTTCTTTCCAACCTCAGCGAGATGAAAGCGGGTTCCCAGGAAGGCGATGGGCTGACTCGAGGGTTGCGCGACTATGAGTATGAAGGGTAGACTGGCATCAGGGGACACCTCACCTTTTGGGGATTTGCGTGATGTAGTCTATCTATTAGATGGCTCTCTGCTCGTTAGGGTGGACTGGAAACAAGGAAATGGAGTGGGCCTGTTGGCTAGCAGAAGCGCGAAGCCACGCCTGCGATGGAAGGCCACCACCACCCGTCCACCACCTCCCTACAGGAGAGCAAACACACGAAACCAGGAGGCCATCCACCATCATCGTCCCTCACCTCCTCCTGGAAAGCCCGAGGGAAACACCTCCACCTTCCCAAGGCGGAACCGCCCATCAAGACCTCCAAAGGACACTTCCCGGCCCAATAATCTAGGATTCCACGACAGGTGTGATTCCAGTTTATTCTCCATCGAAGGCTCCAACTGCTACAGTTCTCCAACCTCATTGTGCCAATGAGTGCATTGAAAAGCTGTTAATATTGCCTTGTCTTGGAACACATTTCTAAAAATTGTTATTCAGATATTCTTGCATATTGTATCAATATCCTGTGTTTTACAGAACTCTTGAAGGCAATTCTGATTTTGGAAATCACTATCTTCAAATTACATGTTTTAAATAGGGTTGATGATGAGGGTGGTGTAGAACCATGTTCTCCTTTTGGCTTTCTGTTTTCTTTCCTCAAACTCAAAGACTCCCATTTAAAGTTTTCGCCTGGACATGCTTTGCTCAGTCCTGCCTCACATCAGGGTTTCATGTCCAGTATTCCCACTAAATGGTCCTTGAACTTTCAGCTGTTAAATGGTATCTCATTTTTAAAATACTTACATTTAAGGTCATACATGCATAAGCTAACAAGAACTAATCTCAGTAAACAAAAAGGTACAGAGCTAAATAGTAATTTTTTCCTGAAGAATTGATGAATTTTCAAGTGTCTTCTTATTAACATTTTCTTCTCAGGAATTGACTAATGTCAGTGCCCCAGAGATATAAGTAGTTTTCTCCCAACCTTGATTCTGGGGACCATGAACAAAGAAATTCGATTTTTCATCACCCTTATGTGGATGAAGAGGAGTTCTAATCAGGAAGCCTTGGGAATTGGGGAGGTTGGGAGTTGAGACGCAGGTCAGGGAGAGAAGGGCTCTGTGGTGAAGACAGAGAGGTATGAAGACAGGAGGGTTTTCCAGCACTCAGCTCAGCTCTTCTTGTTTCAACTCACACAGATGAGGAAGACTCTGACCAGTTCATAGATGAGGCGCATCAGGGACCACTTTTGGGAGGAGAGCTATCTAAACACCCTGCTGGTGATGGAAACAAGGATGATGGCCCTCAGCAGAAACCACCCCATCACGGCCAGTGCCACGTCCTGCTGGTAGGAAGACGTGGCTTCATCGTTGGGAAGACAGAGAGGTATGAAGACAGGAGGGTTTTCCAGCACTACAGCTCAGCTCTTCTTGTTATCACTCAAAGATGAGAAGACCCAAGTTCATCGAAATGAGGAGCATCAGGACCACTTTGGGAGGAAGCTATCTAAACCCCTGCCGGTGATGGAAACAAGGATGATGCCCTCAGCAGAAACCACCCCTTCCGGAGGCCCACCACCACGTCACACCCCTCCTACAGGATGAGCACAAACACACAGAACCAGGAGGCATCACCATGCATCGCCCTCACCTCCTCCTGGAAGCGGGGACACCTCCACCTTCCGCAAGGACCCCCATCCAGACTCCAAAGAGCAAGTTCCTCCCATAATCTGGATTCCACGACGGTGTGATTCCAGTTATTCTCCATCAAGGCTTCCAACTGCTACAGTTTCTCACCATCATTGTGCCAAGAGTGTTGAAATAGCGTGTTATAATTGCCTTGTCTTGACAACAAATTTCTAAAAAATTGTTATTCTCGATATTCTTGCATATTGTAACAATATCCTGTTTTACAGAACTCTTGAAGGCCAATTTCGATTTTGGAAATCCATCTTCAAATACATGTTATTAAATAGGGTTGGATGATGAGGGTGGTCGTAGAACCATGTTCTCCCTTGTGCTTTCTGTTTTCTTTCCTCACAACTCAAAGACTCCCATTAAAGTTTTCGCGACATGCTTTGCTCAGTCCTGCCTCACATCAGCGGTTCATGTCCAGTAGTCCCCGTAAAATGGTCCTGAACTTCAGCCTGTTAAAATGGTGAGCTGCATTTAAAAATACTTACATTTAAAGTCATACATGCATAAGCTAACAAAGAAAACGAAAACTAAATCTCATTAAACAAAAAAGGTACAGAGCTACAAACCGTACGGCGAGCAATCCATCGTTCTTCCCCTCTCTATCCCATCAAAACCCCGACCGGCTTACGCCTTGACTAACCTTTTTGGCGAAACTACTTCATCATTTGCTACATACAATACTATCTCACCATGCTTATTAACCACTATACCATACGCTCCTATATTACAGATTTGGGCGCGCAATTGACTTGCTTACGAAAACACATTCACATGAAGTTTCATTTAATCCTCTCAGGTGTTTCTGCTTTAGTTGCTGTTTTACAATTGCAACTATTTCTATTGTTCGTGGTTCCCACAACATACTCTACCACACCCTGTCACTGGACATGAGGCTGGTTCACATGTCTCACTATTACGGAGTATGTTGCAGTGCTGTCTGTAAAAAATACCCTGTACATAAGCAACAGGCCAACAAAGCTGAACACATAACAAGTAATTGTTTCTTTCTCATCTAGCAACGCAGTTAAATCACATTACCTGCCAATGGCTTAAGTAGTGACACAAGAAAAAATACTAGTACGGAGAAGGGCTGTAGAGAGGCTAATACGA